TCTGGGCTCTCTCCAGCAGCTCCACGTCCTCCTGCTGTTGGCCCCAGGGCTGGGGCAGCTCTGCAGGTGGGCTCTCACCTGAGGGGCACAGGGACGGAGTCCCCTCCTTCAACAGACATCCTCTCAGAAAAGTAAGAAAATTCTCCAAAAGATGATCCTCTGTGTTCAGTGCCATCACTGCTACTGATTGAAGTTGAGATCAGCAGTGAGTTTGATTAGTGATTCCCATGATTTAGTCACCGATGAGCGAGCTGCATGTTGCGCAGGTATTAACCTGTAGGGCTCCATTTTCAGGAACTATATAGATTTCCTTAAAATAGAATTTTTAGTTGTGGGCAGAGATGCTGCCCAGTGTGAAAGACTTCTTTGGGTTGCTATAAAAGCAGATTTACTACAAAATATTAGAGTCTTCCCAGGTTGACTGTGTTCAAAAGACAAGTGTGAAAACTTCAGAATCCCTAGGGGAAGAATTGATGGTTTGAAGATCCACAGCTTTGGAAAGAGGCTCTCATAGGTATATTTCTCCTATAAATTGGCAAAGCAAATAGAAAGATGAGAATGAAATTACAGGTGGAATTGAACAATGTGGAATGTAATTGTTAAGTAGCTCATTAGGAAAAGTAGTTAGATACTATTCTCACCCTCAAAGTGTTCTTCAGCTTGGATTTATGGAGTGTTTTGCCTTTGCCAGGTACTTAGCAGTCTCATTAACAGATATATTTTAATTTCTGAAGGACTATTCTCAAAGACAGCCGATTTTTCCGCTACTTGCACACAGCTGTGATAGTTAGTGGGACCATGCTGGTGTTTGGAGGAAACACTCACAACGACACCTCCATGAGCCACGGAGCCAAGTGCTTTTCTTCGGATTTCATGGCCTATGATATTGGTAAGTTCTTGCAGAAATAATAACTAACACTCAAATACTTGGCTGTTCCCAGGGAGCTGTCCTCAGTTTGCCTCCAGAATGCTGGTTTATGGTGAGTGTGTTATCCCAAATGCTGCTGGGCATGGGGATCTGCAATCAGGAGAGACTCATAACCTTGCTACACAATTCTAAGCACATGAGGTGCAGTGATTTCCAGTTACAGACAGCAGCAGTTCCTTTGTCAATAGTTTATACACAGCCTTTGACATTAAAAATTTAGTTTTAAACTGTGTATTGTTACGGAATCATAAAACCATGGAATCATTAAGGTTGGAAAAAACCTTTAAGATCAGCAAGTCCAACTGGCAACCTGGCATTTTCACCACTAAACCATGTCCTCAAGTGCCCCATCCACATGTTTTTTGAACACTTCCAGAGATGGTGACTCCATCACTGCCCTCAGCAGCTTGTTTCAGTGTTTTGCAACCCTCAACATGAAAAAATACTTCCTAATATCTAATCTACATCTTCCCTGGCCCAAGTTGAGGTTGTTTCCTGTCTTGCTATCTCAGCCATAAATCTATTCTGATATTTTGAGTGTGTTTTAATCTATGATTGATCAAAAAATCAAGTTCTTAGGACAGTTACGAGCATTAGACCCTGCTGAAACTCAGCCTGTACACTGCACTGCTTTATTCAATCATAAAGCCAAATTATTAGGTTGGACTTGCTGAGTTTCAGCAGCCAGGAGAGGGCAACATTTATTTGTGGATTTGGATTCCAGAGACTTGAGTTTAAGAAGAACAAGGAAAGATGAGGTGAAATTACATAAAAGAAGGTACATACATATGCAGATAATTCACACTGGGGAAGAATGCCACTCTGTACTCTGAGATTCACCTTTTGCTCTCAGAGTGCCCTAAATGTGGCTTCTCTGAAGTCTCTAAGTGACTGTCCACCAAGATCTCCTGGTTAGTGAGAAGAAAGTGCAAGTAAATACTTGGGCCATCAGGGTTTGGTATCCTTGTGCCCTTTTGCTCTCTGTTATATCATTCCATTCTGCCTCCTGTGATTTCTAGTTACATCCCTCTGGAATCTTTGTGTGCTCCTAGCTAGCTTTATTTTTTTTTTTTTTTTTTTTTTTTTTTTTTTTTTTTTTTTTTTTTTTTTTTTTTTTTTTTTTTTTTTTTTTTTTTTTTTCATTGAGGAGTTAAAATGAAGTATTTCACCAGGTTGGATGGAACTTGGAGCAGCCTGGTCTCATGGAAGGTGTTCCTACCCATGGCTCAGAGCTAAAATGAGATTGTTTTAAGGTGCCATCCAACCCAGAGTATTTTATCATTCTGTGGCAGTCATAAACAGTTTGATTTTTTTAAACGTTGGTAGCAACAGTGATAGATTTTTCTTTCTGCATTCTGCTATCTGCCCTGACCTATTGAACTCTCTGTTAGGTGTAAAACACAAATTACATTAATTTGACAGAATATGCCAGTAATGATGTTCATTTGGATTCAGTTTAGGTAACATGTTGCATGACATGAGTGGTGTGGTCATTGTCCCCATTTCTTAGCAGACATACACTGTGGAGCTTATATTGGTTTTATGTCACATAGTGAGTGAGAGGTGTTCTTGAGTCCCCTCATTCCTTAGAGAAGAGATTCTCAACCTGAAAAGAGCAGCTTTTTTTTCAGAAATGAGACCACCTCTGTTCTCTTCATTGCAGGAGCCATTGTGTATGATTTCCCTTGTCCCATGTGACTAGGAATGCAATAGGGTGGTGGCTCATAATTTGTGTCACAGCAGAAACACTTTTCAGTAGTTCTTCATGCATGATTTCTGCAGTAATTAATTACCCTGGTCATGTTCCTGTTGGTCTCCGTGGGAATAAGCCCATATAACCCCCCTGTTATCTATCCCTTGGTGTTCCCAAGGCACGAGAAAACCAAGCAAGGTCAGTTGATACTGACAGCCTTCAGTGAAGAGGCTTAGTAATTGTCTTTATTCCCTACTTTTGTAGAACGCTGTATGGCTGGTTTACTGTTTTTTTTACATCTTGTTGATTAGCCATCAGGATTGATTAATGATCACAGTGATGGTTGGAAGACTGGGGAGAAGTGGAATTAAACCCAGTCTGAAACAAATGCTTCAAACCCAGGTCTTCTCCTTAACCTTTGTCATTAAAACTTATTTTGATAGTAACTAATTTTATTTACATCATCAATTTTTTCTGGTCTTCCCTCCTCAAATTTCCAAGTAATCAGAACGCATGCACTGAGTATTGGGAGGACATAAAACCTTTTTTCTGTGTGGGGCAATGCTAACAGTTTGCACTGAGATGTGTTCTAGGGGTGAGCAATAAAAATTCTTGAATGCTTCTTGTCCTTTATGCTCTACTTGACCAGCTTGGGTTGGGTGAGCACTTGGGCAGAGCTGTCTCTCAGTATTTTCCCTGTTTTCTGCACACTGAAATGGCCAATTAGCTCTTCCTGTCCCCAAAATTGGTCTCTCTGGCGTTTGTCGAAGTTTCCTGCTCTGCAGCAGCTTTGTGTGGAAAAATGCCTCACTTAATCCTCCACCTGCTACTTATGTAAAAGTGCTGTGTTTAAATGGATCTTTTCTCCCCACAGAAGAGAAACTAAAACTCTTCTATTTACCCAATGAAAATTCTGATTCTGATGGCAAGCATAGGGAGATGCTGGATGGTTTGTAGCTGATATGTTCTGTTTGAACAGTGCATTTTATAAATCCCAGCATTGTAAGTTTTAGGTTAAGTCAGGAAGGAGAAGATTCTTGTAGTCTCAGAATTACTTGGTTTCTCCAATATTTGATCTCTGGTTAAAAATGGCAAAGAGGCTTAGAAAACAAAATATTCAGGCCTTCTATTAATCTAGAAAAACATGTTTCTTGGCCTCACATAACAACTTGATGGCTAAAAAATTGCTAATTGCTTCAGTTTTTCTGAAGTCTTCTATTAAAAATTGGAACCATCATGCTTGGCTTGAGAGTGGTGCTGGGCTAGGTTAAAGTCTTTGAAAATGGAGCAAATGGCATGTAGAAATAAATTCCAAAATCACAATTTATCAAAGTACTAAACCTATGTCTTCTGTCTTTTCTTTATCAGTACTCTTGAACAAAATTGCTCTGCATCTGTTGTTTTATCCAACAATTCTCCAAATAAATTTAGTAAAAAATTAAAACTTTGTTTCTTTGCCCTTTCAGTTTATCCATGGACTAGTTTGGTTTGTGCGCTTTTTTTTTCCCAGAGGGTCAGTCCACAACACAATGGTTTCATCTCATATTAAAGAGTCTTAGGAGTATTTGAGGGCCCTGTAGATCTTTACAGAAGATTGACTTTTCTGTCTTAATTGCATAAATTGTATCCAAGTGCCTCTGGGATATTGGCCCGCAAGGTGATCCATTCTCTTATTGAAGTTTTAAGTGTTATGAATTGGACTGACTTTTTCTACTTCTGTTTCTTTGCTCAGTGGGTTACATGTTTCTTAATTTGTTTTTTTCTCCCATGCTGCCCAAAGAAAAAAATTACCTGAGAAACCAAGTAAAAAAATGAAGCAGAACTTATAAATTTTATGGTAATAGAAAAAGATGGAATAATCTAACATTGTGTTAAAAGAGAAAAACATCCACAAATCTTTAAGCTATGATGAGTGAAAAATATTTTTAAAAACATGGGTATCTGCCCTCTAGGAACATAATGGCAATGCAAAAAGTAAAAAAAAAGATAAGCCTCTGTTCTCAGTGATACTGGTTTGGGGCAAAACTGCAAATAATTAATGTATAAACAGATAGAACCAGAACTTGTTACATGGTGAGAAATCCTCTTGGTAAAGGAGGAAAAATAGTTTCTTCTTGTCCTGTTCCCTAGAGCAGAGCTGGACCCACCAGCTGTCCCCTCCTGGCAGGAGCTGTGCAGAGCTACGAGGTCCCTCTTGAGCCTCCTTTGCTCCAGGCTGAGCCCCCTCAGCTCCGCAGGAACTCTCCAGCCCCTTCCCAGCTCCTCAGGAACTCTCCAGCCCCTTCCCAGCTCCCTCAGGAACTCTCCAGCCCCTTCCCAGCTCCTCAGGAACTCTCCAGCCCCTTCCCAGCTCCCTCGGGAACTCTCCAGCCCCTTCCCAGCTCCTCAGGAACTCTCCAGCCCCTTCCCAGTTCATTGCCCTGACCATGCTCCAGCCCCTCGGGGCCTTTGCTGGAGGATCTCAGGTACCTGGGGATCTCTCAGGAAGAAACTGCTCTGTGACTTGTCTCATTCATTGTCCAGAGAAACATTTCTGAAAGGATTTTTGTCCCTTGCAGCCTGTGATCGATGGTCTGTGCTGCCTCGCCCGGCTCTGCACCACGATGTCAACAGGTTTGGGCACTCTGCTGTGCTGTACAACAGGTAAGGGCACAGGTGTTCTGGGCTTTGGGCACAGGTGTTCTGTAGGGAATGGGCACGAGTGGATGAAGAACTGCAGCACTGGGCTGAGGGTCTGGCACAAACCTCCTTGTCCACGGAGCTTTGGGCTGCCCCATCCCTGGAAGGGTCCTAGGCCAGGTTGGATGGGGTTTGGAGCAGCCTGGTCTAGTGGAAGGTGTCCCTGCTCATGGCAGGGAGTGCAATGAGGTGGGGTTTAAGGTTCCTTCCCACCCAAACTGTTCTGTGAATCTCTAAAAATTTTCAGATCTTCAGTCTTCAGTATTCACCTGTTCCCATCAGCCCTTCTTTACTGGGCTAAACTGTCTCAGCTCGTTTAGTTTTTTCCATATTTTTATTTTTTTGTCATCATTTTTATGTATATTTCTATTTTTTAGTTATCTAGTAATTGTGCATTTAAATGTATTTCACAGTTCTCTCTTAGCTGCACTGACAACGTTTATTTCCAAATCTGAATTTCACTCAGGCTTTTTAAAATTTTTCCATGTTTCACTTTACACACCTTATCCTGTGGGACTACTCTTCCCCTGGCACATGATGTTCAGTATTTAGGTGAACTCTTAGGTGAGATTTTTGGCTGTTAAGCCTTACAAACTGTAGTGATATCCCTGCTTCCAGATGAACAGCTGTTACTGAATCAGTGCAACCAAGTTTGAGAAGTTTATTTCATAGGAGTTCTAAAATAGAATGAAAATCATAATAAAAATACTTTTTATTCAACCAAAACTTATCTTTTCAGCTGCCTTGGACCTTCTTCACCATATTTTTAAAGGTGCATTGACAGACACAGATGCACAGAGAATTTTTGCATGACATTTTTGTGTAACTGTTAAAATTTAAGGTTTTATCTGGAGCAGCAGGGGTACTGAAGGAAATTTGAAATCCCTCACTCCTCCCTGTACAAAATATTATTTGTTTGGGGATTGTTTCAGGTTTTTTAGTTGACACAATGATTCTGCTTGGTTGTTGCCAGCCATGCAAAGTGTGATTTTCTTACAGAGGAGCAGAGAGAGTGACAGCAACAAATTGTTTTGTCACAGTTTCTGAACTCTGCTTTAATGCTATGGTACCATCTCCCAATTTTTAGCCTTCCTCTGTCTTGCCAGTGTAGATTACAGGAGGATCCCATATTTTTGCAGCATTTTATGTATAATCATGTTGGTCAGGTCCCCTCAAAGTTTTGGCTGGAGGGGAAGATTGGTTGATGACCTTGAATAGCTTTGACTCTGTATTGAGTCTCGCTGGGTTCTCTGAAACAGTGAAATTTGTCTGACCTTTTCTTTAGTGCCTTCCTTAACCAAGAGCTATTTATTTGGATTTATATATGCTGGCATGTAATAAAACACTTCCCTCAGACCTTAAATCCCATTTACTGGAGCAGAGCTTTGTCCATGAAAACAGCTGCGAATTTTTATCTTTGCTTCCATGTTGTCCAGCACCATGTATGTGTTTGGAGGCTTCAACAGCCTCCTCCTGAGTGACATCCTGAAGTTCACACCTGAGAGATGTGAGGCTTTTGGCAACGAGACATCCTGCCTGGGGGCTGGCCCTGGTGTCAGATGTGTGTGGGCTCCCCACCCTCCCCGCTGCATCCCCTGGGAAAATGCAACACTGCAGCAGCAACAAAAGGTCTTTGAAGACTGTCCTCCCAAGCCAGGTATGTGTTCCCTTTTCCGAAAGGTGTGCAGGCTCTTTTTCTCCTTCCAAATGCCCCCTGTGTTAATTGTGTGCCGTTCCAAGGTCAGGTTTTACACAGGGGGCCGTGGTTGGGCTTCCTTGTGTCCTGGGAGCCCTTCCTCTGGCCAAGGGTCATGGAGGTGTCGAGGTGTTTCTATCTTCTGCTCCTCAAGCTCCTTGTTCATGAGATCTTTTTCCTACCCTGCTTCTTGGACTTACTTTTCTGTCCCTAACAAGCATCACCAGCCAGGGACCAGGCCTGGACCATCATTCTGTAAATGTTTGCTCCAAGAATTGGCCTTGTGAGAGCCAAGAACTGGCTGAAGAGCACCATGGGGTGAGGAAGGGCGTCTGGATCTGGTGGAGTTATCCTGTACTCTTCAAAAGAGACAGCAGGAATACTCCTTTAGGAACAGTTACTTTGTTGTTTTTGGCAGGGGGTTGGTGCCAGCTAATCTTTACGGTCCCTTCCAACCCAAACCATTCTGGGATTCTGTGTATAGAGGCAGATAAAATTAATTAATGTTTTAAGATCTGATCCTGTGTTTCCCCTTAGGATAATTTTAAACAACTTTATCCTAATACATTCATTGTACAACCCTTGATTCTATAACAGATGTGCAGCCTTTAATAATTGAATATAAACTGATGTAAGGGGGCACTGCCTTGCTGGGCTCCCAATGCACAGTAAATTTTCACTAAACACAGGCAATAAATAATTGGGAAGATGAATGAAAAGTTCAAACTTCACATGTAAATGCTCCACTTGAAAGCCAGGCTTGCAGGAAGATGGGCTTGTGCTGGGGGATGGCCACTGTCCCTGTGGATATCCTCTGGCGTCATTTCCCTGGGCATTAACGTGTCTTAGTTCATGTGCTTCCATGTTCAGTGCATTGTTTTCTGGTGGTGTGTTTTAGGGCTCCTTGGGCACTAAAAATGATTGCTGCTGTAAATAAAAGCAATTTGCTGTCAGTTCAAACACATGAAAGTACCTGATTTTAGTTGCCAACAGAAAACTACAGGCACTAGTATTTGGTTGTATCTTTTGCTGTAAATAATCAAGTTCTTAGAGCTCTGTCAGGAAATGCCTGGTTTTGGTCATGCAGGATTTTTTCTTTAATAGTTGTAGACAATGAAAAATGTGATCAGATTACAGACTGCTACAGCTGCACAGCCAACACAAACAGCTGTCAGTGGTGCTCTGACCAGTGTGTCCCAGCACACAACAACTGCACAGAGGAACAGGTAATGGCTCTTGACACTTCCCTAGTTTAAATTTACCCTTTGGAATAGCAAATGTCCATGTTTCCATCTGTCAGTGTTATGATCCCTGTTTTGTTATTCCCAGTACATATCTAGCTCGAAAGTGCTACATGTTTGTATTTTTTTCAATTTGATCCATGCATGGTATTTTACAATGAATTTAGGAGGATGGCTGTGGGCAGGGGAAGAGGTGGAGGTATGATTTTTCAGTAATCACATTTTGGGTTTGATATCAATAGGGTTTTCCCCAGAAAAAAACAAAATAGCCCTCTTGTAAAAGCTTTAGTACAGAAAACATGTTGGGCAGTATTCTGGGGGGATATCTTGGGTAACCAGTCCAGGCTGTGCCCAGTTCTACAGCTTTTGGGTATATGAATTGCTTTGTATAGCTGGACTGTGATATCTAGTGTTGTAATAATTGCTGTTATAAACCCACATGGCTGGATATCAGAAAAAATCTCACGTGTGCTATTTATTTTAGGTTCCTGTTACTCTCTATGAAAATTGTCCTAAGGATAACCCTGCCTATTACTGTAACAAAAAGACAAGTTGTAAAAGCTGTGCCATGGATCAAAACTGTCAGTGGGAACCTAGGAATCAGGAGTGCATTGCTTTGCCAGGTAGGTACTGGTGGCATAAACCAAATTCACCCACTCCAAAACTTGTTGCGAGTTTTTTAGAATTTTTGCTGGTTTTAACCCCAAATCTGTAATTTTTAGTGTTAAGATGGAGCAAATAGTGTTGTTTAATCATAATAGCTTTGGTATGAAATCTAATTTGTAGTAAATCCAGCAAGTCTGCTGGAATATTTTTCATTCCCAGTTGTCTGAAGAGGAGTATGCTCACTCATATAATTATTAGGCTGTATGTCATCTCTCCCTTTTCTTTTGATAAAAGCTGTTGATAATAGGCTTCTGCAAGATATTAGATTTAATAATGCATGCTATTTAATTTAGGAACTAAAATTATGCAAAAGCATAATGGCAAATACTGGACAAATGAGGCAAGTAAGACCTGAAGTGTTTAAGGAAAATTCTCCTATTAGAGTGTTTCCAGTGGAGCTCACAGGAGTTGGTTATTAGTTCCCTTGCAGTAACTTTTTTTTTTTTAATCCAAATGACTGGGTGAGAAATACAGGATCTTCAGTGATTAACATTTCTAGGTAATAAAATATAGCGAAAGGGGAGCAAACCCATTAGACAGGACATTTTAATGGACATGGAAAGCCTTCCCCTAGGAATGGTAGGTCTGGACATGTCCAGGTCTGTTTGCAAGTCTGCAACAATTTAAAATCAAGGAGACTTTGAAGAAGAGCAATGAAAGTGAGAAAAACATCTTTTAGTTTTATTTGATATAGAAAAGGGTATGATCTGATCATATGTGTAAAAAGCTCATCTGAAAAATTGACACCTGAGAGCTTTTCCATCTGTTAATACTGAATTCACATTGGAAATGCCCATCAGGGTTTTTTCTGTAAGGGAAATAATTAGTCACAAAGTGTAAGGAGTTCTTCAGTAGTGGGGTTGTGCTCCAGTTGAAGCAGGGATTAATCCTGGAAGTTGGTACTGTGGACAGGATTAGCACAACTCATTCCTGCCAAATGGTCCCCTGACAACTGTGGTTGAATAATTGACTTCAAGACATCAACAAAATACAAATTCAGGATTTTTTCCCTCTTTCTCCTACAACAATTGTACTGTTGAATGTTGTAATAAATGCTTTGATTACAAACAAATACTGATGTCAGACTTCAGCTCCCCTAAACAGATTTCCTTCTCCTCCAATATTGTTATGTATCAACACTTCTCTTAGAGGTACACCTCTAAGTTGTGCTGGTTTGGGATGGGGCTGTGGGTATTTCTTAGTGGTAGGATTCACAGAATCATTAAAGCTGGAAAATACCTCCACGATCATCATCACCAACCTCTGTCCTAGCCTCACTGTGGCCCTAAGCCACAGCACTAAGGGCTGCTTATTTTCTGAACACTTCCATGGGTGGGGACTCCACCACTGACTTGGGCAGCCCCTTTCAGTGCTTGGCAACACCTTCAGGGAAGAAATTTTCCCTATTATGCAACCTAAACCTCTCCTGGCACAACTTGAAGGCATTTCCCCTTCTCCCTGGGAGTAGAGCCTGACCCGCCCGGCTGTCCCCTCCTGGCAGGAGCTGTGCAGAGCCACAAGGTCCCCCCTGAGCCTCCTTTGCTCCAGGCTGAGCCCCTTCCCAGCTCCCTCAGGAACTCTCCAGCCCCTTCCCAGCTCCCTCAGGAACTCTCCAGCCCCTTCCCAGCTCCATTCCCTGCCCTGGCCAGCTCCAGCCCCTCCAGGGCTCTCCAGAGCTGCCCCAGCCCTGGAGGTGCCCCAGCAGTGCCAGCACAGGGATGGGCACTGCCCTGGCCCTGCTGCCACCCCAGAGCTAGCACAGCCCAGGGCCACTGGTCCCTTTCTCACCTGGGCTCATGTTTTTCAATGGTTCTTTCACTACCTTGATTGTTGTGAAGGTCATGTGCATCTCTGGGTTTAGTTTCTTTCCCCTCCTTGTCCCTCAGAAAACATCTGCGGAACAAACTGGCATTTGGTTGGCAACTCCTGCCTGAAGATCACCAACGCCAAGGAGAACTACGATCATGCCAAACTGTCCTGTAGGTCCAACGGTGCTTTACTGGCTTCTCTCACCACCCAGAAGAAGGTGGAATTTGTTCTGAAGGAGCTGCAGAAGATTCAGTCTTCAGTGAGTGCTTCTCTTGTCCGTCCCTTGTGTAATAAAGCTGTGGCTGTGGAGAAGTCCTTGCTGTAGTATTGTGTGCTCTGTGCACAACAGAAATGCCTCTTAACCAAAATCAAGTGATTTTCTTTCGAAATTCAGTGTACCCTCTGGGTGCTTCTGTGCTGAAACTGTAGAAAATGTAAATGGAAAGGAGAAGTATAAACACACAGTGCCTTAAAGAGATCACTTTCTGTGCTGGAATCACACTCGTATTTCCCGGGTGGAATACCAGACTGCAGCAAGAGCCCTCTGGTGACCTGTGCACAATATTTGATAAATAAAAGCCCCTTGGGGCCACTGGAGGTGTTTAATGTAAAGTGTTGAGATATTTACTGCATGCAGAAAAGCAGCTGTTGGAAATGTCACCTTCTTATTCCACAGAGTCGCTTGGCTTGTTGGACGTTGTTTGGGTGTCATTTAGTGTTTTTCAGTCAGACCCAGGGAGAAGTGAACTGGAATTTTTGCCTCTTCCTGCATCAATGAAATAAATGCATATTTTTTTCCCATTGCTGGGAGAAGAAGGGAGATGTTATGGGCAGGTTGTGTAGGTGGTGCTACAGCCCTGACAAAGAAACATGCTTTGCCTCTCTTCTGAAATCCTGGATTAGCCTGGAAAGCTGCTGTGGCCTCGTGGCACATCAGAATAACAGCTCCTGGGTCCCAGAGGCCACTGTGGGAAGCATTTTCTCTAGAAAAAATGAGGCTGGAGGCAATAGGATTGTTTTTTTTCAAGGGAGAACATGCTTCAGTACTTAAGAGAAATATTCCCCTGTTAAAACAATAACATTCCCTGCCTTGGTTCCCTTTGTAATTTTAAAGGGGTGTTTCAACAATTACAGTGTTAGAGGGGAGTCAATTTAGCCAAGCAAAGGTATGGTGCAGTTGAAGCAAGGTTGTTCACCAAATCTTTTGTAAAATGAGGAAGCCAAGCCTGGGATACTGTAAAAAATATTCGATTCTGACAGTTCCAGGTGTTTCTGGATAGTCCAGGAGCTGAGTGTAGAGTAAATTTCTAAAGACACATGGTAACCCTTCCCTCATAGTGTTTAAATGTTTACACTGTGTAAACAAGAATTGTTAATTTACAGGGTTCTTTTTCCACCTACAGAGTCCTTTAAAAAGTGAGCCAAAAGACACTAGGAGCCTGTTTTAATGGATATTAGGATAGAATGCTTATATGTGAGAAAGTATCCTGGGCTGTTCCCAGCATGGGCAGCAGGGGAGAAGGGCTCTGTCCCTGTGCCCTCAGGTGAGAGCTCACCTGCAGAGCTGCTCCTGCTCCTGGATCCCAGATCCAGGAGGACGTGGAGCTGCTGGAGAGAGCCCAGAGGAGGCCCTGGAGCTGCTCCAGGGCTGGACCCCCTCTGCTCTGGAGCCAGGCTGGCAGAGCTGGGAATGTTCCCCTGGAGAAGGGAAAATTCCAGGGAATGCTCAGAGTCCCTGAAGGGGCTCCAGGAGAGCTGGAGAGGACCTGGGGACAAGGCCTGCAGGGACAGGACCCAGAGAATGGTTCCCATTGTCAGAGGGCAGGGCTGGATGGGATCTTGGGTATTAGGAATTGTTCCCTGGGAGGGAGGTGAGGCCCTAGCACAGGGTGCCCAAAGCAGCTGTGGCTGCCCCTGGATCCCTGGCAGTGCCCAAGATCAGGCTGGACATTGGGGCTTGGGGCACTGGTGGCTGTGCTGGGGGAGACTCTGCTTTGCAGTTGCTCCTTTTTCAAGTAAACTGTATGTAGATGTTTAGTAATAACAAGAAAATATGTTGGTGTTAGCATAATATGCTTTGTAACCCTGTTGCTGTTGGAAACTGCAGCTCTAGGGTATAAAAGTGCATAAAATCAGTTCGAAGTAGGTGATGTTTACTCATTTTAGCAATAAAACCACATATTATATTAACAGAGCTCAAATGCTCCTCCCCAAAATCAAACTGTGCCAACAAATAAATTGCAGTAGAAATAGTTGTCTTATAGCTTGTGGCCAGCAGCACTAATTTAAGTTTGACCTGCTCCTTTATTTCTAGCCCAAAACTTTGACTCCATGGGTTGGACTGAGGAAAATCAATGTGTCCTATTGGTGCTGGGAAGATATGTCTCCCTTCACCAACACCCTCGTGCAGTGGCTTCCCGATGAACCCAGTGATGCTGGTTTTTGTGGCTATTTAGCTGAGCCTTCCCAACAGGGATTGAAGGCAGCAACATGTATCAACGAGGTCAACGGCACTGTCTGTGAGAGGCCAGGTAACAGCAGCTGTCTGGTTGATTTATATTTCCTAGAGGGTAAAGTGAATGCAATTTATTACATTTTAAAGCGCCTGCATCATGACTTTGCCAAAGAAAAATACTTCTGAACAAGTGTCTTGTGTATGTATTTCATGCAGGAAATACAAATTTTAAAAATAGCTCAACATTTACGCTGTTAACTGTAAAATATTTGAAGTACAGGATTTTAATTATTTTTTTCTTAATTACATACCTACATGTGACATTTAGGGTAATTATGGTATGGAGCATTCTCCTGTTTCAAAGAAATAAAAAATTAATAGTAACTTTCGGATTGAATTCCCCTTTTTTCCCTCCCCTGCTATGTAGCCAGAGGAGGATTTTATCAAAGTTTGAAATTAATTAGCCAAGACACTTTGGAGATACAAGGACTTTGAAAAAACAAGATATTTGCTTTTGGGAGAAGTCTTCCAGCTTTGTTGAATCTGCATATCTTTTCAGATGGCTTGGTCTGTTAATTCTCCATTTTAGCCGATCATTTCTGAATACTAATTAGTGCCTCTTTACGTATTGGGGAAGTTGGAAGATTAAAAAAAATATTTTAAGTACACTGCACCAGTTGAAGTCATTCTTTGTGGAAGTGCAGGATGTGAATTCTGAATGTGGAACCTGAACTCAAAATTCCATATGTTTTCACTTGCAGCACTTCAGTTTAAGCTTTGTGCTGGTTTTTATGGTCTGAGAACAGTCATTTGAAGCAAAACTTAAAGCATTGGCTCAGACTAAAACAGATGAGTTAGTTCAGTGCTTGTTTGATGTCTGGAATTGATCAAATCACTTAAAGCGTGTGCCTGCCTGCTCACTTAAAACAGGGCACTTTGGGGTAGGGTACCCCACTTGGGGAGGGTAATAAGGAATGCATCTGCAGAACTGCAGAGAAAAAGAGACCAGAGACCACTGCTCCGTGCCCAGAGCAGCTGGGGCTGCCCTGGATCCCTGGCAGTGCCCGGGCCAGGCTGGACACAGACTGGGAGCAGCCTGGGACAGTGGGAGGGGTCCCTACTGTGGCAGGGGAGGGATGGGATGGTCCTGACGGTCCCTTCCCCGCTGAAGGGTTGTTTCTGGAGATAGTTTGTATTGGAAGAGAACTGATGCTGTCCTCCCCTGCAGCCAACCACAGTGCTAAGCAGTGCCGCACGCCCTGCGCGCTGCGCGCCGCCTGCACCGAGTGCACCAGCGGCAGCTCCGAGTGTATGTGGTGCAGCAATATGCAGCAGTGCGTGGACTCCAACGCCTACGTGGCCTCCTTCCCCTACGGGCAGTGCATGGAGTGGTACACCATGAGCAGCTGTCCCCGTGAGTCTCTGCGCCTGCCTCGTGTGTTTTCCTTTCAAACTGGGTAAAGGGCCTAAAAACTTAAAACAAGTGAAGATGTAGAAATTATTCTATTTATGTTGAATTCTTTAGGAGCTGGGTGTGAGCAGGGGCATCACAAGTAGCTCAAAATGTTGCAAAATAAGAGATGAAGAAAAGGAATTTAAGGAACATCAAAGTATGAACTTCCCATATTGCCAGAGGTCAAAAGTTGGAGGAAGCATCAGGCAGGAGATGAGTAAGCTAAAATAATGGAAAACAAACTTTTTTTTTCTTTTTGAAGGCAAATATTGTCTATTTAAACATCAAAATAGAAAGTCTGCTTATCTTGCAACACCAAGAAGCCAGAAAATATTTTTCAAAGAAATATAAAACGTTTTTGTATATAAAGAGTTTGTCACCCCTAAAATCCAATCCCATTCGAGAAAGGAGGAGCTCAAGGGTGGAATTTTATTCTCATATTTGTATTCTATGTTTTTTGCCTCAGATAAATACTTGAAATAGTAGCATGTGATGCACAAATGTGGTCGGAAGAAGCTCTAAGTGGCTAAACTGGCTGGCGTGTAATGGTTCAAAAAACCTCTGTGTGTGTTGTGCTGTTTTGTAACTGATTGACTGTTGGAACCTTTGTTAATAGTTATTTTACATTCTGGAATAAATATGCTGATAAGAATGAACACGTTACTGTGAATATCAGAATAAATATTTCTAGATTTGATGAATAAATATTTTGGTGAGATTAAAATACAGTTATGGAATACATTCTGCATTTTTTGTGCCTATGTTTGACATGGTGGTTTATTCCACAATTTTGTATCTTGGTTTGGTTTTTTGTAGCTGAAAACTGCTCAGGCTACTGCACGTGTGCTCAGTGCCTGGAGCAGCCAGGCTGTGGGTGGTGCACGGATCCCAGCAACACCGGCAAGGGGAAGTGCATTGAGGGCTCCTATCGGGGGCCTGTCAGGATGCCGACCCCATCCACGCCAGGGAGACACAGCTTGGAGCCTGTTCTCAATGTCAGCATGTGTCCTGTGGAGAGCAGCTACAACTGGTCCTTTATCCAGTGTCCAGGTAAGCGAGCGGCGTTTAATTGTTCAATGTTTTGATTGAGTGCAAGGGGAGAGAGTTTTTAAGACTATTGTGGTGTCTTGTGTTCCCTCCTGTTAATGGAGGGAGGAGAAGAGCATGGAATATGTAAGTAGGAATTACACACTTGGAGATGGAAGGAGCTGTGAAGCAGCTGAGCTGCACAGGTTTATTGCATGAAGACATTATTATTTATTACTTGGGAGAAAGTTCTCCTTTCCCTACAAACCTTTACTGAGATTTTAACTTTGTTTGTTTATTTTAAGGCTGTTTAAAAGAAAGGCAGATCTTCCTTTGAAGGTTAAGTGTTAATAATGCTTAGGATGATTTTTAACTGATGTTTTTGACACAAAACCAGCACTACCCTCCCCATTCCTTGTAAATCCATCCCACCAGCAACTTCCAGTCCAATGTGCATGTAATGTTTTGCAGTTAAGTTTTCCGTGTGTTGCTCTAAATTCCATTTTTTGATATACACCTGTCTTTGGGCCCATGTATCGCTAGCAAGAGACGAGAACCTCTCAGGAAGGTGCATGAAATGGTTTCATTTGTCCTCTGCACAGAGCAGCCTCCTGAGGGTCTCCATGAGCTGTATTTGAGCAGCAGTACTCACAGTTTTCCTGTTTTCCTCTTTTGCACAGCCTGTCAGTGTAATGGGCACAGCAGGTGTGTGAACGAGAGCATTTGTGAGAAGTGTGAGAACCTGACCACGGGCAGGCACTGTGAGACCTGCATCTCGGGCTACTACGGGGACCCCACCAACGGGGGCACGTGCCAGCGTAAGTGCTGCCCCAGAGCTCCTGCACTGGGCTCCTCCGTTTCACTCTCTGCTCATTCCTCTGCTGTCTTAACTCAAATTATAACCTGAGAATTCATGTCTTCTTTCCTGCAAGCGAGGCTCAGTTCTTGTTGCTTCAACTCAAAGACACTCAAACTGCTGAGTGAAATTACTTTCACTGCATGTAAAGATGATTTTATAGCCTCCTTTTTAAACTTGGAATGACCATGGTGAAAAATGTCTGTATTTTAGTGTTTGATGATCCTGTTTTTAAAAGAAACAGTGTTGATCCAAATGTCTTGAACAAATTTCTGTTTATCTAAGTTTCAGCTTCAATTCCATTTGGTTAATGTGTTCCGTGTTTATAGTTAAAATTTTCTGCTTCATAAAGGCTTGCCATGTTTCACTGAGGACTTGGCTGGATTTCAGTTGAGGATTAGTAGCACCCTGTTAAAATTGCATTTCAGTTTGTAAAGTGCTTTGGGACTCTGGCACAAAGAACCATTTTCAGCTGTGCAAGATTCAGTTAACAAACTGGGAAAGTCTTCCTTGAAAGACCAATGAATTTAGTATTTGACAAATATATATGGAAGACTTTGAGTTTTGAACTGCAACCTTGTGGCATAGTTTTGAACTGCTGTGAATTTTTCAGTGCTGTGGCATGGGGAGACCAACAGTAAGCCAGAGACTAACTGTGAGAGTAGCAGATGTGAGGGGAGGTGCTGCTTAATCATAGAATCATGGAGTTGTTTGGGTTAGAAGGGACCTTGAAACTCGTCTCATTCCAATTCCCTGCAATGGCAGGGACACCTTCCACTGTCCCAGGTGCTCCCAGCCCCAGTGTCCAACCTGGTCTTGGGCTTGCCAGGGATCCAGGGGCAGCCACAGCTGCTCTGGGCACCCTGTGCCAGGGCCTGCCCGCCCTCCCAGGGAACAATTCCTAATTCCCAATATCCTGTTCATCCCTGCCCCCTGGCAGTGGGAGCCATTCCCTGGCTCCTGTCCCTCTGTCCCTTGTCCCCAGTCCCTCTCCAGCTCTCCTGGAGCCCCTTCAGGGACTCTGAGCATTCCCTGGAAATTTCCTTTCTCCAGGGGAACATTCCCAGCTCTGCCACCTTGGCTCCAGAGCAGAGGGGCTCCAGCCCAGGAGCAGCTCCAGGGCCTCCTCTGGGCTCTCTCCGGCAGCTCCATGTCCTCCTGCTGTTGGCCTCAGGGCTGGGGCAGCTCTGCAGGTGAGCTCTCACCTGAGGGCACAGGGACAGAGCCCTTCTCCCCTGCTGCCCATGCTGGGATCAGTCCAGGGCTGGGGGGCTCTGGCTGGGTCATGTCCAGCCCTCACCCAGCAGCACCCCCAGGTTCTTCTCCCCAGGGCTGCTCTCCAGCCATTCCCCACCCATCCTGTGTTTGTGCTCTGGCTTGCTCCAACCCCGTGTAGGACCTCGCACTTGGCCTGCGTAACTTCACAAGGTTCACACCGTCCCATGTCCCTGATCTGTCCAGGTGCCCTTTGGTGCTATCCAGGGACTGTTGGAGGCCATCTAGGTCCATCTGGATGTCTCCCCTCCCCTCCAGCATGCTGATATTACCAGTTTGTTGTCACCAGCAAACTTGCTTTGGGTCCTCAGTCCCACAGCCCCTGTCACCAGCACAGATGTTAAACAGCCCCAGTTTATTTTAGTGGAATACAGTGAGGTGGAATGGGACAATTAGATACAATGATGGAAAATGTAGAATAAAAATAACATTGTTCAGAGCAGTGTCAGTACTTCTGTGAAATGAGTGTGGGTGGTTTGTGGCCAGCCTGGAAGAATGAAGTGGAGGTGACCAATGAGTAGACATTGAAGACTTTTTATTGCTTTTTCCAAATGTGGTAGCAATCCAGTAGAAAAGTCTTTGATATTAATTTAGGATGTTTATTGGGTGTAGTGGTTACCTTTTGGGTGAACATGAGGATCAGTAGCTGGAGCATGGAGTCCTGTTTCCTCAGGAGAAGGGAGGTGGTGATAGTTGGGGCTATGAAGAACTTCCCAATGGACAGATTCGAAGAAGGGGATCAAAAACTCACAGGGATACAGGTGCCTCCCTTAGAGCAAAGGGATATGGAATTCCAACAGACAGCACAGTGACAAGGGTTCAGAGGAGAAGGTGCATCCCTGACTCTTGATTTCACAACATTATCTGCCAGATAAACTACTGCTGACACTCATAAACTCATTTCAGGTGAAGATACTTCGAAATGCTCTAAAGTTTACTTGAATGTAATGAATAAATTGAGGCTGAGTTGCCTGAGAAAATACAGAATTCTACCCTGAGCTTTAAGTTTTAATCACTGGATCACAACGTGCCTGTTAGTAGGTGTCGTTTTTCCATGCGTGTGGAAGTGGAGAGTAAGTTCCTTTGGACTCTTGTGCATGAGGATTGTCCCAGTATAGTTTGTTGTTGAGATAATGAATGACAGACTGAAATCATCCAGATGCCTGAAAAAGAAATTAGAAAATGTGTAGAGAGATTATGGAACAGTGTTCGTTCCTTATCTGATGGAACCAGTAGCTCATGTCAGAAGTGCTGTGCTCTCAAGTGCTTTGGACCCAGGTTTTTAATTTGCTGTGAATTTTACTGGGAAGCGGAAAGAATGAGGGAAGTAGGAACCTGGGCAGAAAGACTGAGGTGGATTGGGAAAGGGAAAACAAGAGCAAATCACCCTATCTGATGCAGCCAGGCTGACTTCCACCTATTAGTAATTTTTGCTGGGTGAAAACCTTTCCAGAGGGGAATTCTTCAGCTAAGGATTGGCTGATGGGTAGCAGAGCTAGCTCCTGTTTTCTCCCTGCTCTTAGCTGTGGTCGCTCCATCCTTTCCCATTTATGATGTGCTGATTTCACTTTTGTGAGCAATACTTAGTGCTGCTCTGTTTTTAGAGCCCTTGGTCACAGCCATGCTGCAGACTATTGTTATACACTCCAGCCTGACACACAAATATCTGTGTGCTTGCACACTCATTGCCTAGTGTGAGTCCTGGAATCATTTAATGGTTTGGGTTGGAAGGGTTCTAATAGACCATCCTCTTCCACCCCAGCCATGGCAGGGACACCTCCCACTGTCCCAGGTTGTTCCCAGCCCCAGTGTCCAGCCTGGCCTTGGGCACTGCCAGGGATTCAGAGCTGTCACAGCTGCTCTGGGCACCTGTGCCAGGGCCTGCCCACCCTGCCAGGGAACAATTCCTTCCCCATATTCTGTCTAACCCTGCCCTCTTTTATTTCAATGCCTTCAGTCCTGCATATCCCTGTAAAAAGTTCCAATACTTGTGTTGAAAGTATTTTGTCAAACTGCAGTTATTTCCCTGAAAAAATTGTTTGCATCACATCATACACCCTGGTGTTGGCAGAGCTAGGCTAGATAATAACTAAATGGTAGGTAAATCACTCCTCAGAGGTTGCTTTTAGGAAGTGTCCAAGTACAGAAGTATTAATCAGGAAGGGCAGGAAATGCAGCACATCAAATGTAAAAGTAGCTGCAAGGTGCTTTCTCTGCATTCAGAATTTTTCTGAATTTTCTGGTTAAGGTTTCTCATGAAAATATGCTGGTGGGAGATAAGGAAGTTATTTGCAAGTGAGGGGAAGGCACTATTATGCCTGAAATCAGATTGCAGCTGTGGCAGCGCTTCCAAACACACCCACGCAGCCCTCACTGGTGGCCTGTGAGTTGCTGGTGCCATGGACCTGCCTGATTCCCTCTCCCAGGGCCCACGGGGGCCCTGCAGGGTACCTGTAGCATGTGGCATGGAGGAACAGTGTTGGGCAGGTGGGTGATGGTGTTGCCATTGGGAAGCTGGGCATCACAAACACAGAAAGAGATCCCCATGACCCTCTCGGAGTGAGCCCATGGCCCGTGGTTTGTGGAGAAGGTAGAAGGAACACCAGCAGGTGGAAGTTGTTTCATCATCAGGCTGTTAACCACTATTCACAGCAAGAAAGCCATTTCCAGTGCTTTTAGGTTTCTGCTCTGTGCTCTGACTCCAGTGGGAAATTGTCCTTTGTAGACTGTAGTGAACTTGTCTAGAACATTCTATCAATAATTTGTTTCCAAAGTTTAAAGTTCTCTGAAAAGCCATGAGAAGATGTCTCTGTGTGTATTCCAGTTATTTAGTAAATGATCTCCAGTTACAGGCTTTGTAGGAAAGTGGATAAATTAATAGATTCTGTTGTTTTAAATAGAGATATTTGAGTGTTCAGTCTTCTTGATATGGTAAAGAGCAGAGAGGAAAGAAAAATTAATGTTATTACTCAAGATGCTGCAATCTGGCTTTAAACAACCCGAGGTTAAAAAATCAGGAGAAATTTCATGTATGTTCATATTGAATATTGATCCAACTTCACTTTGCTTCCTTTGTGCAAAGCATAAGGAAAGAAGTACGAGACATTCTCAATAGTACTAAGACTTATTTTTCTTTAAGTGGCACTAATGAAAATAGTGCTTCCTTCACAGAATACACTGAATTTTCATTCAGTCTCCTTGTTCCCACAATAGGCCTTTTTGCTTCTTCCTATTTTGCTCTGTGTTGCTGCTAGGAAACCACTCATCCACATCTGAGAAGCACAATTAAGTGTCCCTGATACAGTGTAGCTTCCATTATGTGCCAACAGAAAGAAGATATCAAAAGGATTCCTAAAATAAGGTCCAAGGCTGGCAGAGATATTCAGGATGGGGACTTGATGTCTAAGAATCTGCTGGTACATTGATTGGCATGGCTGCTTAATGAGGAGGAATATGTCTTCTCAACAAGGAGGCTCCGGCCTTTAAAGCATCTTGTTCCCAGGAATCTCAAAGATCATAAACAAGGGATCTTTGCTTTGTGTAGTTTTTTCCTTGTATTGTACACTCTGCTGTGCACAGCTCCAGATGGATGCACCTGCATTGGCAGAACGACTCCTAAATGGCACCTACATGCCAGAAGTTGTTAAATCCGTTCTTGCAGTGATAGTGAACAAGATGTCAAAGTCAACTGGCTGTGTAGGCTTTGTTCTTACTTGTTGGTTTGGTTTTGGGATTATTGTGAATGTTTCTCCTCTACATCTTTGTAAATAAAGGTCTCAAAGTGTGTCAATATGAGCATTTAGCTTAAATCAGGAGCATTTTTTGTGAAGAAAATCTCCTGTGTGTCCTCACCATGCTACCTTGTGTTGGATCTTGAGCAGACTCAGGTGTGTGAGGTGGTATGTTTTGGGCATGCCCCAAACCTGAACTAGTTCAGGGCTGTGCAGATTTGCTTCAACCACAGCTCAATGACATGCAGCACAAAGTTATCCTAAAATACATTGGGAAATGTACCCCAACTAGTCCTAGCATGGACATCATCATCTTAGCACCAGATGTTGCTGCTGATGCTGTTGATAATGACATTATTTCCTCAGTAGGACTGATGAAGCATTATTTTTCCAAAGGCCTGTTTATTTATTTCTGGGAAAAGTCCCTGAAGTCCTATGGGCTTTGTTTTATTTTCCCAATTCTTCTCTCAAGAGTTTTTGAGTTTGGATTTAATGTGTTAACAAGCCCAAAATTATTTCAAATACTGTCTTTTCCTTCCTAGTTATGATATCACCCCTGCTGTCTAACAATAGCAGAGGAAGTTAAATGAATTTTTGAGGCTAAGAAGCAGAGTCTGATGATGATTTCATACAAGACACAGTCCTGGGTAGCCTGTGTTTGCTCTGTTTTGACGCATGGTTCTATTTTCATCTGCCTTCTGTAGCACAAAGAAATCAAAGAGCACCAAATGGGTTTTCATCTGCATGTTAATTGTTGATGTGTCACAGTTTGACAACTAAAGGACTTAATTGCTATCAAATTTGTTTCTCTTCTTTGTTCAACGTTGCATCTTCTCCCCCTCTGCTCAACAGCGTGCAAGTGCAATGGCCACGCGTCCGTCTGCAACACAAACACAGGGAAATGTTTCTGTACAACCAAGGGAATCAAAGGAGACGAGTGTCAGCTGTGAGTTCATTTCCCTTTCCTATTTGCAATAAAAAAATTGTGCGTGTACCACCTTAGACACCCCCCATTTTTTAATGGCTGTGTTTATGATGTCTCTGCTCATTTCTTCCTCCTGACAGTTGACTGACTGCACTGAGGGTGCAGCCAGCCATGGGTCCCCTGGGGAATATTATGGACAGGATGATTTCCTGAAGAATTTCAATTCTAAAAACATTTCAACTGAGAATGTCATGCAGAAGAGATGGGTGAAAAAATCCCCACCCCCCCAAACTATACATAGAACCACAAAATGGTTTAGGTTGGAAGAGACCTCTGGGCTCATCCCCTGCCGTGGCAGGGACACTCCCACTCTCCGAGGAGCTCCCAGTCCCAATGTCCAGTCTGTCCTTGGGCAGTGCCGGGGACCCAGGGGCAGCCACAGCTGCTCTGGGCACCCTGTGCCAGGGCCTCACACCCTCCTAGGGAGCAATTCCTAATTCCCAAGATCCCATCCATCCCTGCCCTCCGGCAGTGGGAGCCATTCCCTGGGTCCTGTCCCTCTGTCCCTTGTCCCCAGTCCCTCTCCAGCTCTCCTGGAGCCCCTCCAGGCCCTGCAAGGGGCTCTGAGCTTTGTCTGGAGCCTTCCCTTCTCCAGGGGAACATTCCCAGCTCTGCCAGCCTGGCTCCAGAGCAGAGGGGCTCCAGCCCTGGAGCAGTTACGGGGCCTCCTCTGGGCTCTCTCTACTTTGCTTTATCTCTTAATTTGCTTTATCCTTCTGCTTTACTTTATCCCTTCTTTTTCATCAGTAGATTTCACCATCTTTGCTCTCTGGTGTTGTTCAGTGGGAGTGTAAATATATCCAAAATGAGCCTTTGACATTCAAGCAGTTTAATGGAGCAGTTTTAGAGCAACAAATTTGCTGGAGGTTTCTCTGTAACATAACAGAAATGCTTTTAGTGTAATGTTAGGGGAAATAATTTAATTCCAAATAATTTCATTGCCAGGTTTATTTTTAAAGCATTGCTCACATGAGTAAACATTTATAGGATAGAACCTGGAATAGCCATAAATGACTATTCCATGCATTGTGAAGAGCTAATAAATACCTTCCAAGTGGATGCAAATGTTAATATCCAGAATTTTATATTGCATTTTTACTGCATATGAGTTGGACTTGCAGGGAACATGGAATTTCTTCATCAGCCCAGTCTAGCTCAGACATTCATCTTTAATTGTGTTCTGCTATCAGCACAGGTTGTGTTTTCTGGTATTTACTGGCTGGGAATAAATAGAGCTGTAAAAAAAAAAAATCCATTTATTAAAAAATGTATATTCTTTTTAGGTGTGAAGTTGAAAACAGGTATCAGGGAAATCCACTTAAAGGAACGTGTTACTGTGAGTACCCTTGGGATTTTGTTTGGAGATAAAAAATATGCTTGAAGTTTAAAATAATTTATTTAAAACTTGTTTCAGTTGCCTCAGCATGTGTTTAAAATACGGGGGATTAAGGAAAGGACTAAAAAATATCTGGAAAAACATTCACTTTTCTCAAATACGTTGTTTAAAGAGAATGAAAATACTTTTCTTTATAAGGTCCATGTGATGATTGGATCTTTTGAACATTGTTTTGAATGTTTTTCATGTGATGAGATGAAATCTGGTCTTTTGGAGAGCACTCTAAACTATATTCCTAATAGGTAAAAAACAAAGAATGTCCTTAGAATTTTTAGAAATGTAAAATACATATATTTAAAATTCTGGTCCAGGTTAGAATGGATTTCAAAATTGCCACGTTTCCTCTGAAATGAGCATTTGGATTCCCATGCAGTTAAAGAAGATCCTTTGCCAAGATTCAGATTATCTAATGGAAACTTTCCAGCTTCTATTTGCAAATATTAGCAATCGGCAGCCTGGCAGACGTGGAGAGATGGAATCTTGAATTACATGAAGTCTCCAGTAGTGGTTTTGTCCAGCACAGAAATTATCAACTGGCTGGTTTTGGCTTATTTGAATTCCGCTTGTGTGGCCAAACAAGGGAACTGCTGGCTCCTCATGGCATTTGTGTGCAAGAATGACAAAATTCCTTGCTGAAATAGGAGGGTTGGTTAAATGGCAAAAAGTGGGGAAAGACAAAACTTTGCAGCTCCTTCAGGAAGAACATTGTGCTGTCCAAATCCAGTCTTGCTTGATATCATTCCCTGTTTCTTCGTGCTGTGTCCAGATGGACACCAGCAGCTTGTCTGACTTGTATCAGTCCAACCAGGGGTCATTGGAAGGCAGTGAGAGAAAAACAGCACCTGGTGTGTCAGTTCCTGGTTATTATTGATGGGAATATCCCTGCATGGCTTCAGGAATATGCACAAGTCACAACAGTGTGCTGTAGTGGAAGGGTACTGAGGTGGGTGGGTGCATCCCCCAAGTGGCTGTGGCTTACACCAGCCTGGACAGATGGCAGCAGGGAGGGACAGACAGACAGACCAGAGGCTGCTCCTGGCATGCCTGGGTGGAATGTGTCCCAGAGCAGGATGGCAACTGGGCTCATCACCAACCAGCTGCTCTGTAGAACCTCTCCCATGAAAATCTGCTTATGTACAGAAACCTGGAATAGGGGTTGTCCCCTTCCAAGTGGGAATTACACAGCTACTGAACTTTTCTGCTTTTCCCTTTGATCACAGAGGTATTTCAGGCTGGAAAAGGAAATTTTTGGGTGTGTTTTTTACAGTGTATAGGTAGGAATATTGATTTAGATCAAGGCTGGAAGCAGTTGCCTGGCAAATATAAGCCACCTCTTTTCCCTCTCTAGGCTCAGCTCCTGGAGTTTTTTGTTCCTTATGTGGCATCATATGTAGGTTGGAGTAAGTTATTAGCAGTGTCATGTCCTGGTTGTCCAGGAAACCCTTCAGTGACATCATGCCTTCCTTTACAGAAGTCAATATTACAGGAGATGGGATAACTGTCTCCCTGCATTCCTTACAGATACTCTCCTCATTGACTATCAGTTCACCTTCAGCCTTTCCCAGGAGGACGATCGCTATTACACAGCAATCAACTTTGTAGCAACACCTGAAGAGGTACATTTTCTATTTTCCCTTTTAACTTTGTCCTTTGTCTTCTTTTGGCCCTGGAGACAATGAGCTGTAACAGTTCTGTGAGTCTTTAGGTGTAGTTTTGTGATACGGAAGGTGTGTCCTGTTCCATGGAGCAACCAGGGCTTTTTGAACTTGGCTTGGCTGTGCAGTCTCAAATCATCACAGGAAGATTTCATAAGGAATCACAGCTGATTCTTTCCAGTTGTTGGAACAACCTCTGAGCCATTCCATCTTTTTTAAAATCACATACCAGTGTGAGTTGGAAGGGACCTTAAAGCTCATCCTGCTCCAAACCCCCCTGCCATGGCAGGGACACCTCCCACTCTCCCAGGCTTCTCCCAGCCCCAGTGTCCATCCTGACCCATCCTGACTGCCAGGGGTCCAGGGGCAGCCACAGCTGCTCTGGGCACCCTGTGCCAGGGCCTGCCCACCCTCCCAGCCAGGAATTCCTCATTCCCAAGATCCCATCCATCCCTGCCCCCTGGCAGTGAAAGCCATTCCCTGGGTCCTGTCCCCGCAGGCCTTGTCCCCAGTCCCTCTGCAGCTCTCCTGGAGCTCCTTTAGATGCTCCTTAGGCACTTCTTTTCTGCAGGCTAAACAATCCTGTCTCTCGACCTGTCTCCAGAGCAGAGATGTTTTGCTTGTTTTCACCCCATATATTGTGTCTCAGTTTTTCCTTTGATATTCTGTATGCATTACTCCTTTGTTATGTTTTCTTTGAGGAAGATAATACTTCTTCCAGAAAATATAGTATTTAGTTTTTAGCTTGATGTATTTTCTTTATGTAAGTAACAAATTCCAAGATAATTTTTTGTAGCAATGATTTCCTAGGAAACAGTACAGTAAAACTGCTTATCCTAAAAATGGGGTTTCTTTTTTGTTTCTTCCTTTAGCAAAACAGAGACCTGGACATGTTCATCAATGCATCTAAAAACTTTAACCTCAACATTACTTGGTCCACAAGTTTTGCAGGTAAATTGAGGATGGTCTAAGGAGGATGATCTAAACTCAGGAGCTTCTTTCATTTAGCTGTTTCTGAAAAAAGCAAATTTAAGTGGGAAAACTTGGGGGTTTTTAACCTATGTACTTTTTGCATAGTGTTCTTAAAATGTCAGCCTGAGGGGGAAATAAAATATTTAAAAGCCCTATGTTTTCAACTTTAATAGTGTATTTTGTAAATACTGAAAGTGCAAATTTTATTTTTTTTACAATGCAACATCTTGGCACAGAGTGGTTTTGATAAAGCAGTGCAGCTTAACATAGTTGGTTTTGAATGATTTTTTTTAAATTAGAATTTAGGATGTTTTGCCCTTTTGTTTGTTTTCTTAAATACACCTTGGAATATCTTTTCTTGCTACTTCTTACAACAGCTGGCACACAGGCTGGGGAGGAAATTCCAGTTGTTTCCAGAACGAATATAAAAGAATACAAGGACAGTTTCTCCAATGAGAAATTTGATTTCCGCAACAACCCGAACATCACCTTCTTTGTTTACGTCAGCAATTTCACCTGGCCCATAAAAATACAGGTAAGAGCTGCTAATATATGTCAAATTGTGTAAAGGTCCCTTTCCTATTTCTCTTAAAACTGTGGTAGTTTGCTGTGCTTGGAGTAGTCCAAGCTGAGGCAGCCTGGCATAATCCAGAGCAGGCAGAGTTTGATGTTCCTGGGTAAGAGGAAGAGGGTGTGAGCATCTTCTGATGTTGCCTCAGCCCCGTGGAGCTGAAGATGTGCTGTGAAATAGAGACACCCCTTTATTAACAGGGCTGTGTTTGATGAGGTGTCTGACTTGAAATGTGCAGATCCTGATGTTGTAGGAAAAGACTGATAACGCTAAAGAGGAAGCCTAGAAAGAGCAGACAGAGGAAATGCTTTAGTAGCTCTTTAGTGCCTCAGAAGGCCCAGCTCAAGGGCCATCCCCTTTCTCCTGCTCTTGCCTCAGGCTGGTGGCACGTGCAGGACGAGCAGCTCATCCTTCCCCTTTATTCAGGGTAGTCGGTTGACAGGCAGTGCCTGGGCCACCAGGCTGGACATGGTGATGAAGTGATGCAGGAGGTGCAGTGGATGAAGCTTGGTGGCGATAAAATCAGACAGAATCACTCTGTGACTAGTGGTGATAAAATCGGACAGAATCACTCCGTGATTGCAACCAGGGATCCTGCAGTTCCTGAGGCAGCTCACAATTCAGAGCAGCTTCAGCCACCTTCTTGCAGCGTGCTGGTCAAGTATCAGCTTCCTGTGTGCTCAGAGTGATGTGGGTGTTTGAAGGACAAAATCCTTGGAGATCTGGAGCAGAGATCATGGAATGGTTTGGGTGGAAGGGACTTCTAAGGTGATCCTCTCCTACCTGCTGCCATGGGCAGGGACAGCTTTGGCTAGCCCAGCTTGCTCCAGCCCCGTCTAGCCTCGAACAGTTACAGGGATGGGGCAGCCATGTATCTCAAATAAAGCTTAGCATATTTGAATTCTGTCTTATTGAAGAAACTTGGTCAAATATGGGAACCCAAATCTTTCCGTCTTCACCCTTGTTCATGAGACTGTTTTGTGAAAGCTGACATTTCATACTAATGCATTCGGTCTTTCAAATGTATTGGTCAGGCAAACTCACTCTTTCAACAAAAACAATGTGTGGGATAATATTGAGCAAGAAAATGAGATAATGCACAGGATAATACTGAGCAAGAAAATGAGATCTACCTGGAAAAATGGTCCTTAAGCCATAGTGATATTTTTCCTGAATTTTTAAAAAAATTATTAGGAATATTTGTGAAATGTTCTTATCACCTTTTCCTAAAGATACTGGGTTTTAATTGCTTGGGAAACTGTCTTGTGGATTGCAGACTGAAGATTTGGCGGGTTGGCTTTGGATTCTTTAATATCACTTACAGTTTTGGTAATCAGTTTGCAGCTGGAGAGTTTTTACTTCATAAACTGCTGAAGTATTGAAAATAAACTAAGTCCTGATTTTTAAATATGGAGGAGTTTATGAACTACAATGTAAAATCTTTGTCACTGGATACTCAAGTAGCAAGGCCCAAACCACCTTATTTTCATCTAATTACTGCTTGTTGTAGGGGCAGTAGCATCTGTGTACGAAGGTGCACTTGTGCAGTGATTTAAATATTTATTAAATATTTGAACTTTCATCAAATTCATAATCACAAGAGTCAGTAAAAAAGTATTTTTTTTTAACCTTATGGGTTATTTTGATTGATATTTGATTTTCTGTAATCAGTGCTTGAGTGTACCTTACCCTGATTTATTTCTTTGTGATTTGTTGCTGCAGAGCTGTGTGTTAGGGATACAGCTGATTGGTTTTTCTCTTTCCTTTCAGCATCCCCTCTTCCCTTCCCCTTCTGGTTTCCTTTACTTGTATGGTTGAAACATCTCTTGCTGCTTTGTTTTCATTTGCTGAGCAATGGCACAGCTTGACTTCTGGCAGTTCTTATTTTATCTCTCTAATTCTTGCTGGCTTTAAACACATTGCTCATTAATCCTTTCCTCTCCTTAATACAAAGTCTCTTTAATTGATCCTCATGTCCCTTTTGAGGTTAGCTCCAAGGATGCAACTTTCAAATAGTTTTGCATCTTTGACCTGAGAGAAATATTTAGATGGCAGCTTTCCCATTCCTGATCTCTTACTCCGCTTGATTTTACTGTTTGATTTAATTTCTCATAGTTAAAGTGTGAACTTTGATTCTCTTACAGCACTTAACCTCTCTTTATCCTTAATTTAATGTGAACGTGCTTGTATGCACTCAATCCAAGTTAATGTTTTATCACCAGCTCTTCTTAATGTCTTTATTACTTGCCAAAACAAAGTCTAAAATAGCATCAGCTCTTATTCATTGAGGCACAGTTTTTATGAAGAAGTCTGGCAGTGACCAGCAATCTGTGGTCCACAGAATTTCTGTTAGTTTCCTCTTCAGTGCATAGCTAAAAACCTGAACTCACTATGTCCTTTCGGGTCTTGTGCAATCTGCTGTGAGGGATTGACCTTCCCTCAGTTGCAATATGTGTCCCTACCTGTCCTTTCCATGCCCCAATTTTCTTCATTTTTGTGAAGTCATGGTTCTCTGTAGTTTGTGTTTGATATGATAGAAGCTAAATCATGGTACAGGTTTTTGGGACAAAGATTTTTTTTGGACAAATGCCCAGAGAAGCTGTGGCTGCTCCATTCTTGGAAGTGTTTCAGGCCAGGTTGGATGGAGCTTGGACCACCCTGGTCTAGTGGGAGGTGTTCCTGCCCATGTCAGGGGGATGCATTGAGATGAACTTTAAGATCCCTTCCAACCCACCTCATTCTCTGATTCTGTGATTTTAAGACTTCCTGGCCATCAGTCCTTGACTTATCCCATACTACATTCTTCTCAGGGATAGCTTTTATTCAGAGCTTTCGTTCTCTCATTTGTTTTTCCAAGGGGTTCATCCCTGATTCCCCTGCAGAAAAGTTCCTGTTCTGTTGGGATCAGTCCTTCAGGGCAAACTGGCTCATTAATTAAAACTCCATGTTGCAGTATGGACAGGATGCAAACTGTTCTCTTATTTCCTAGCTTATCTCCTACAGTGTCTCTCATTGCACATCCACTACTAAACTGTCACACAGTGACAGAACATGTTTCAATTTCCTTTGGAAATTACACTGATTTTAATAGAGTATGTCGAAGTCAGGAAAACTCTTCTTCTGCCAAGCTGCTGGAAATTATTCTGTCTGTATGTGCATCACCTGGCAGCTCATGCATGTGTTTGGGCTGCTCCTGGGCAGTGCAGCATGTCCAAACCATATTTTTAGGTATTATTATTCTTTGACTATCTTAGTAAACTGTCATTGTGCATACATCACTTGTCCTGGCTTATTTTCAATTTCAATACAACAGATGTATTTAAACATGAGTGTTTATGTCTATACAAAATCTTGCAACAGAAAACTTTATACTTTTTTTTTTTAATGCAAAGCAATTCTACAATCCACCTTATTTTTTTTCTAAGTATTGCAAACTTTATCTTGAAGTTCTTGATTGAACTCTGTCTCTTTTTCATTCTCTCTCCTTGCCTGTTAAAATCTGCCCTTGGAAAATATAAGTACTCCTTTGTGTAAGAGATGGCTCTGTCCCTGCCAATGCTCAGTTCTGGCTCTTCTTTCCCTGTCTTGCTCCACCTCTTTTTCAAACGACCTCAGGTAATTTTTTTTTTTTTTAAGTATATTAGTTTAGGATGTCTTTCCCTGCCTGGTTAATGACTTAAAATGATTTATTCAGTAAAAGAACTAAAGCAGCAAAATGCAGAAAGCCTTCAAAATACAGCAATCTTCTGTCTAATTCCTCCTCTCTGAGCAGTTCCAAGCATGAAGGAGTTCACTTAAAGCCTTTGCCAAGCTTTTCTGAAAATCCTGGTAAGGTCTTGTCAACACTCTCTGGATATTTCCATTCTCTCTGCTTTGTGAGCTCACCTTTGCTACAAATGTTGGACACAGGGAATTTTGAAGCATTTAGCAAACCCCAGATGTTCACCTTCCTCTCCTCAGTTTGGCTCTAAACATTCCCTATCTTTCCTTTCCTTTAGGAAAAGACATTAGTGAGTGTTGAAGGATTGAGATTTTTTTTTTCCACTTATGTGAATTCAACAATCTTTTCCCCACTATTCTTCCTCTTTGCTTAATCTTCACTGTGAATTTGCTTTCTTCTTTCCAAACTTAGCTCAGAGTAGAAGAGAGACATTGACTGTAAATAACCTGCTATACAATAGCACAGTAAGAAGCAAAGGAATTCAGTGCAGAAACTTTCAGAGGAGTTCTTTTCATGGGTCTCAGTCCATGCAAAGTCAGCTTACTCTGAGGTGAAATTGCAGTTCTGGAGCTGACAGGTAGTTACAGGTGAGAATTTGAAACTCTCTTAGATACCTGTGTAAATGTCAGCATGCTTTAATACTGTTTAAACTTGTATGTATTTACCTGGGGCCAAGTCCAGTGAGTGAACTCCTCTCCAGAGTGTACAGGAGGGTGAAAATTCGATCTGCTAATACAGGAAACTCTCCCCTGGCTGTAAGATTTATGCTTCATTGCAATTTACTGCTGATGGTGTTTGCTGCCACTCACTAAATAGAAATTGGTGGTTTAGTCTTGTTTCATACCCAAACTATTGTTTATATTCAATAACATTCTGTCCCATTTGATACTTGATTTTTTTTTTCTATCAGATTCCAAGCATCTCTCTACGTTCTGAGAATGTGTAAGACGTTTAGGAGCTGATTAAGGCAAAACCAGTTTGTAATTGTATCATTAACTGGCAATTGCCTCCTGTCTTTCCTTTGTGTTGGTTGAAGGATTTTGATTTGAACACACTTAAATGTTAATTATGAACCAAATGCTTCAAGAAACAAAGAGGCGAAGGAATTTTGCAGCCCTTGCATGCTGAATATACCATTTGCAAAATCTCATTAGGTATTCACTATATATAATTTTCTTGGCAATTCGTTGTCATGTTGGGCTTCAAAAAGTGCCACTGTGACTATGCAGCATTGCTGCATGTG